GACAAAGACCGATGTTGAACACGCCACTTGACATCACTGGATGAAGTCTTGTAATTCTGAGAATAGCTGTATCCTCGCAAGTTGAACCCACCAAAACCTTTCCGGAGCATATGTTGAAGGCACTATCCTGATCTGCGTTGTTCAGTGTACTTGGGATGCAAGCGAGGCATATTAAAGGCAAGGTCCGCATACTTTGCTTGCCAATCACGTTGCTGTCAAAAGGGATAGAAAATCCAATAACAATATTCAATTAATTGGTTTTTATCAAAAAGGGCAAGATCAGGTTTGTTGGCAGGAATTTTCCTCAGGTTGTATATTGGCCTAATCCAAAGAAATTTGAAAGCCTAATTTTCCATGACGCCAAGGACATGTTGAGGGTCGTACTTTGGATGTTCCTCGGAGTTACAGCAACATACATGGCGAAAACGGTAGTTGAGCCAGCGAGCCATGCCGTCATGCCGTTTAAGATATGTTGTTTGTGCCATGCATGGGCTTCCCCTGACAACGTGTTGAACAGTCTGGAATGTCCTCGCAAAGTCGACATTTCATGTTAATATATTCTTTAAGAATCACATTTTGGCGACTGCGAGATGGAAGTGACTGGTCCTGGGCAGTGTCAACACGTGGTATATGGTCGACTGGGGAATTAGCTCATGTTTAAGATGAAGTTTACATTCAATACGTTGACAAGACGAAGGAATACGTTGAGCTCAAACTTCTTTAGTTACATGACAAACAAATACACAAGACATAAATGAGGTGAGCGGAGTACCTGCTCAACCCCAAGGTTTCCTACGAGCGGCATTATCCTGCTCCTGGTCGTCCCAACACGCAGACAGTTGGCATCCCGGACTTGTACCCCGTTTTTCAATCTACATGTTGATGTGAGCATATATATCTACAGTTTTTGACAACAATGGACGGGCGATGACTGAACAATGGACAGATAGAGAAACAATAACACTTTCTTGACCAGTTGATGTGATGGCAGACACGGTCAAGGGGGGTTACCAATTAAGGTTATAAATGTCTTATACAGTAATTAATTGCCTGACAAGTCAATGTACAATGCGGAAGTGATAATGATTACATAGAATACAGATTAGCGTCATATAAATAATTACAATAAAGTCTCACATGTCTTGAGTACATTGTTTTTTACTTTTTAAATATTTGGACGATGGCTGTCCTGAATTAGTCCCTATAACAGCAGCAAAAAGGAAGCCCTCAGTTTCACATTTAAGACCAGCCGACTTCATCCAGGCGAAGGAGTCGGTGGGATTTTTCTTCTGTTGTAGTTCGCTGTGCATGAAGGTCTTGTCGCACATGTCACATTCGTACGCAATCCCGGTGTGTGTCTTCAGATGCTGACTGAGGCTGTCCTTGGAGGTGAACTCCTTCCCACAAGCATGACACTTCATCTTCTCTGTGGAAACAGCTGCATCATCTCCATCTCCTGAACCACCTGCATGGGAGCTGAGGTGAGACGACAGCTCACTCTTACACTCGAACATATATACATATATACACGATGCAGTCGTTTCTCATGGAGGTTTTGCATAAATGACCGACTCTGGGCTGACTTGGTGAAGGACTTCACCTGGTTTACTCCCATGCAAGCGTACCGTCCAGATTACGTAGCCATCATCAAAATCAACATCAAATTTGAGATTCTGTCCAACAACATTGCTGGAATTCCTTGCTTTCATCATCAAACCTCGTGAAGAACGATAGTGGTGGGCTATGTTTTTTGTGTGTTTTTTTTATATTTTTATTGAGCCTCGGTAACCACGGGTTTACATAAACCATACAAGTCCACGTGGTCAGGGACTACTGGTTTATAGCCTTAAACTTTTACAAATTATATTTTCTATTGTAAATCTATCATGAGTGCTTCTACATACATAAACTTTACATATATATAATTCCAGAGCATATTACAAATCTACAAAGAAAAGCTTCATAGAAACTTTGACATTGGTATAGTGAGACTTTTATATAGAGTATTTTAAATCCAAATTTAAAAACTCAAATATTTACCAAATATAATGTTATTGTAAATCTAACATGAGTGCTTCTAAATACATAAACTTTACCTTTGAATATTTATATATTTCCAGAGCATATTTCAAATCTATAATGAAATGCTTCATAGAAACTTTGATATCAGTATAGTGAGATTTATGTATAAAGTATTTTAAATGCATATTTAAAACGCAAATATAGGGTCACAGTGATCTGTTGAACCGTACAAGAGGGGATTCTACAGAAAATTGTTGCTGTGAATACTTAGAAAGAAACTTTACATAATCATTAATCATTGAAGTAACATTTTTACAATTATAGAAAAAATGGGAAACGTCCTCCAAAGTTTTACAGTCGTCACATTCTGGTGATTCACTTAAGTGAAGTGAATGGGGTGAATGTTAATTTGACAGACTGGCAAAATGATTCTTTTTGAGGGAGATATTACAGAAGTAGAACGGAAAGCAAGCTTATCTCAATTGAAAAGTAATAAATATCCAGGATGCGATGGTATATCAGCAGAATTGTATCAATTGTTCTGGGAGAATATTAAAGTCCCATTTATAAAGAATTTACAGCATACTTTTCAAGTAGGAACCATGACTGTTTCACAGAAGAGAGGAATTATTACATTGCTGGATAAACCAGGCAAAGATCCCTTGCTAATTGAAAACAAAAGACCAATTAATCTGCTGAATGTTGGCTATAAGATAATTGCCAAAGCTTTAGCTAATAGATTAATAAGAGTGCTCCCAGATATAATCCATCCTGCCCAGACAGGATTAGTGAAAGGTAGATATATAGGAGAGAATATTAGATTTTTATTAGATTTATTGGAGATGTATGAAGTCTCAGATGTTGGTTTTATTGTTTCACTAGATTCAATTTTAGTGAGACAATGTTTAAATGGATTTCAGTTTTGTATGAAAAGCCTCAAAGTTGTGTTGTTAACAAATGCAGGGCAGCCAATTGGTTTCAGTGATTCAAAGGTGTTAGACAGGGATGGCCCTTAAGACCTTATATTGTTATCATTTGCTCCGAAATCATAAATATGAAAATCAGGAGAAAATGAGATATTCAAGGGGTCAGAATTGGGGAGAAAGAAGTGAAAGGCATTTATTTTGCAGATGATACCAACTTGACATTAAAAAATATACACTCAGTAGCAAAAGCTGTTGAACTATACAACAGATCTGAAAAAATAACAGGCCTTAAGATAAATGTCAAGAAAAGTAATTAAATGTTTAGGTATCCAATTGTTCAGAAATAATGATACTTTAGCCACAGAAAATCTCAAACCCCAAATTTTGAAAATAACAAAACGATTCCAAATTTGGTCATCAAGAAATTTATCAATTTTTGGAAGAATATTGCTTTCTAAAGGGGAAGGTTGTTCAAGGCTCATATACCAAAGCAGTATGATGCAGGCTCCAGCAAGTTTGTGTAAAGAAATCAATGTGGGATTGTTTAGATTTATTTGGAATTATAAGAATGAAAAAGTGAAATGAACAACAATGCTAAATGTAAAAGAACTAGGGGGAGCTTCAGCTTTGGATTTTACCAGTATGAGTAAGGCACTCTGTTTGGCATGGATACCAAGATATTATTCCACTGATGGAAGCTGGAAATTATTTTTAGATAAAGGTTTGATAAATGTAGGAGGGTTATCTTTTATTTTAAAATGTAATTATGACCTAAGAAAAATGCATATATTTGCATATATTTCTGATATTTGGAGAGAAAATCACCCGAAGGAAACTAAGAACACATGGAGAAAAAATAATACTATTCAATCTGGGGTTGATTTTTTTATTGTTACCAAATCTGTAGGATGTAGATGTGTTAACTCAAACATCATTCTAAGCATAAAATCAGATCACAAAATTGTTTTGCTAGAAATAGGTAAAGATATAGACATTTTGCACCAAATTTTGAAAATGAATAATTCGTGTCTTTTAGATGAGGAGTACAGGAATAAAATTAAGGAATTTCTGAAAACCTTTAGTCAGGAAGTATCAGTAAATCCACGTGTGGATTGGGAGTGGATCAAGTATAAAATCATGCAGATTTCGAGAGACCATTCTAAAAAGAAAATATATGAAATCAATAGAAATGAAAGAGACTTGATAAGAACATTAGCAATATTGGACTGTCAGTTGTCAGATGGTGAGAATGATAAAGTAGATCGACAATATCTGGAAGCTAAGAATAAGTTTGAAGATATTTATGTTATAAAGGCTAAAGGTGCTTTTATAAGATCAATAACTAAATGGTTTGAGGAAGGAGAAAAAAGTACTAGATATTTTTACAATTTGGAAAAGCAGAATAAATATAAAATGCACATTTCTAAGATTGTATCAGAAAATGATGAAGTTGTTACAGATGAAATAAGAATTTTGCAACAGAAAGAATCCTTTTATAAACATTTGTATTCCCAAAGTGAAAGGCCAGTAGAATCTGATTTTGATGAATTCTTTAATGTGGTGGGCTATGTTATCAGACATGATCCTTCTGGTCAGGCGGTCAAGACTCTGGGGTGGTTTTTTTTGTCCAATTAACTCCTTCAAAGGGGAACGGCAAAGAATTGGTGGCTTTGATCTTGTTTTAAACATTTAGCTCTGAGCTCCAGATTTTCTTAAAGCGAGATTTATACTCGGTCCGAATTTTGTCTTGTATTTGGGTTTTCCGGAGCTTGTCTCGAACTTGCATTCCAAGATTCCAAGGTCTGATCTTCCACAAGATGCTCAAAAACCCTCCCCTTTGTAACTTGACCGATCCATCATCAATTACCTTGCCACGTTTCAGATTAAGAGTATTGCATTTGTCGAGTCAAATGTCAAACCAATATCTGGACACGGGGAAACTGTTTTGTTTTTGTTTTTAAATTAGTATATCCGTGGCAAGGAGCTCGATGTCGTCCATTTTAAGGAGATGAGTAAATAGGTGTTTGGGGATCTGCGCTGACGAGGTCCGGGATGGTAGCCTTCCTCTTTATTAAGCAGAAAGCTCAAGGTATTTAAAGACAAACAAAGAAGCAAAGGACTAAAGGGGTCACGATTACACAGTGCCATTGATTACACAATGATGACTCTTGTATAGAACCCCTACTTGGGCAGAAACAGAGTAAGTGTATACACTGCTGAAGACTCTTGAATCGAACCCCTACATAGGCAGAAAATGAGTAAGTGGTGTGAGGTGGTGTGTGGTCTTGTGCATAGAGCCCAGGTCACAAATTAATTGAAATTAAGCAACATTGGTCACGGAGAGATCTTGGGTGCGTGACCGTGTTCAGCAGCTTGACGACTGAGAGTTTCTGGGATTTCAGTCCTGTCCAACAACGAGGGTGGTCTCATCGTAGTGAGTGAGTTTGTTCATAATTGCCCCAGCAGAAATTGGTATCCGGTGGGATACGCCAGATTACTATTAACCATCATGTTGTCACCGCGGCGCTTAACGCTTGTCCCCGTGGCGTGGAGTTCAGCGCTATGTCAGTGACCTTATTATTATTAAATATATTTACTGGTGCAGACTCTTGCATAGAACCCGTACTTGTGCATAACCAGCGTCGGTTCATTTATTTCATTACTTAGCTTGTCTGTGTGTGTTTTCACTGGCATATAAGAGTTGTAACAGTAAACCAGCTGTAACTACTACAGTAGTTTGATAAAGAGTTATCTAAAGGTTATTGTCCGCGGGCTGTATATCACCTCTCCAACCGACAATATATAATTTACAAGTGGTCGGCCTTCCAAGCATTTATCTTTGCTGTGTTGTTATATTTATAGGCCTGTACGTCAGTGACACATCAGTTGTGCTGGCAGAAACCAGATATTGTGGATCGAAGGCGTCATGGCGTAAGTTCTTACCACAGCCTCAGTGTGCATATGTGTTGTGAGATGCATCTCTTTCAGTATCATATATCACAACACTTGTACAGTTTCTACAGCTAGAACTGCGCTCTGCAATCTGTCACACTATATACTATATACTACAATATATCTTGTTTTATCGGGGCAGCTGACATCCAGTCCCACAAAAAAGTGTTGATAAGTTGGACATCAGTGTTTGAGTAAACTGTCTTGTTAAACCTGCCATTGTGTGGAGTTTGGTAGTGTGTGTGACTCTTAAAGCAAAAATACTCAAATGCACTATTTAATTTATCTTCTCTTTCACAAGCAAGGCGTGTCTAATAAGAAGTGTCTGCCTTTACACCAGAAATCTGTCTCGTAAACAGGTCAGTGGTCAGTGTCAATGCTCAATCTCGAACACACGACGAACAAACTGTTGACCTACATATCCAACCTAAATCTTGATGTAGACACACAATGAATTTTCTCGGTCAACAGCAGCCACAGTAACGTTTGTGGTTGAACCACATCACTGTTTATTGTTTCATCCTTGAGTCTCCAGTTCTACTGCATCAGTGTTTACTGTTTCATCCTTCAGTCGACAGTTCTACTGCATCAGTGTTGACTGTGTCACCCTTCAGTTGGCAGTTCTATTGTATCAGTGTGTTTGGTTTCATCCTTGAGTCTCCAGTTCTACTGCATCAGATTTTACTGTTTCATCCTTTAATCGGCAGTTCTACTGCATCAGTGTTTACTGTTTCATCCTTCAATTGGCAGTTCTACTGCATCAGTGTTTACTGTTTCATCCTTCAATTGGCAGTTCTACTGCATCAGTGTTTATTGTGTCGCCCTTCAGTTCGCCTTTACCGCATCAGTGTTGACTGTGTCACCCTTCAGTTGGCAGTTCTACTGCATCAGTGTGTTTGGTTTCATCCTTGAGTCTCCACTTCTACTGCATCAGTGTTATTGTGTCGCCCTTCAGTTCGCAGTTCTACTGCATCAGTGTTGACTGTGTCACCCTTCAGTTGGCAGTTCTACTGTATCAGTGTGTTTGGTTTCATCCTTGAGTCTCCACTTCTACTGCATCAGATTTTACTGTTTCATCCTTTAATCGGCAGTTCTACTGCATCAGTGTTTACTGTTTCATCCTTCAATCGGCAGTTCTACTGCATCAGTGTTTACTGTTTCATCCTTTAATCGGCAGTTCTACTGCATCAGTGTTTACTGTTTCATCCTTCAATTGGCAGTTCTAATGCATCAGTGTTTATTGTGTCACCCTTCAGTTGGCAGTTCTACTGCATCAGTGTTTATTGTGTCATCCTTTAATCGGCAGTTCTACTGCATCAGTGTTTACTGTTTCGTCCTTTAATCGGCAGTTCTTCTGTATCAGTGTGTTTGGTTTCATACTTGAGTCTCCAGTTCCACTGCATCAGTGTTTATTGTTTCATCCTTCAATCGGCAGTTCTACTGCATCAGTGTTGACTGTTTCATCCTTTAATCGGCAGTTCTTCTGTATCAGTGTGTTTGGTTTCATACTTGAGTCTCCAGTTCCACTGCATCAGTGTTTATTGTGTCACCCTTCAGTTGGCAGTTCTACTGCATCAGTATTTATTGTGTCATCCTTCAATCGGTAGTTCTACTGCATCAGTGTTTACTGTTTCATCCTTTAATCGGCAGTTCTTCTGTATCAGTGTGTTTGGTTTCATACTTGAGTCTCCAGTTCCACTGCATCAGTGTTTATTGTTTCATCCTTTAATCGGCAGTTCTACTGCATCAGATTTTGCAGTTTCATCTTTCAATAGGCAGTTCTACTGCATCAGTGTTTACTGTTTCATCCTTTAATCGGCAGTTCTTCTGTATCAGTGTGTTTGGTTTCATACTTGAGTCTCCAGTTCCACTGCATCAGTGTTTATTGTTTCATCCTTTAATCGGCAGTTCTACTGCATCAGAGTTCACTGTTTCTTCCTTCAATCGGCAGTTCTACTGCATCAGATTTTACTGTTTCATCTTTCAATAGGCAGTCCTACTGCATCAGAGTTTACCGTTTCATCCTTTAATCAGCAGTTCTACTGCATCAGGGTTTACTGTTTCATCTTTGAGTCTCCCGTTCTACTGCATCAGTGTTTATTGTGTCATCCTTCAATTGGCAGTTCTACTGCATTAGTGTTTACTGTTTCATCTTTGAGTCTCCCGTTCTACTGCATCAGTGTTTATTGTGTCATCCTTCAATTGGCAGTTCTACTGCATTAGTGTTTACTGTTTCATCCTTTAATCGGCAGTTCTACTGCATCAGTGTTTACTGTTTCATCCTTTAATCGGCAGTTCTTCTGTATCAGTGTGTTTGGTTTCATACTTGAGTCTCCAGTTCCACTGCATCAGTGTTTACTGTTTCATCCTTTAATCGGCAGTTCTACTGCATCAGTGTTTACTGTTTCATCCTTTAATCGGCAGTCATACTGCATCAGTGTTTACTGTTTCATCCTTTAATCGGCAGTCCTACTGCATCAGTGTTTACTGTTTCATCCTTTAATCGGCAGTTCTACTGCATCAGTGTTTACTGTGTCATCCCTGAGTCTCCAGTTCTACTGCATCAGTGTTTATTGTGTCATCCTTCAATTGGCAGTTCTACTGCATCAGTGTTTATTGTGTCATCCTTCAATCGGCAGTTCTACTGCATCAGTGTATTTTGCGTCATCATTCAATTGTCAGTTCTACTGCATCAGTGTTTACTGTGTCATCCTTCAATCGCCAGTTCTATTGCATCAACGAGTTTTGTTTCATCCTTGAGTCGAAGTTTGTAAAAGCAGTTGCGCTGTTTACATTAATATGTGATGCAGACAATTACTTCTACAGCAATATAACATTGATAATGCATATATCTTCAGCTATGTTTTTAACCGAAACTTTATTAATGTTGAGCATAGGTGGATAGTCTCAAGATTCTTTTACAACCGTTTCAAAGCTCATTCATACACGTTTTGTTCACCTTGACCCTGGGCCTACTTTTAGAGAAAAAGCGTCCACCCGCCCGCTCCGACCTGGAGAAGGGCGTGAATGGCCTACACCTGAATGACGTGGCCCTGGACACCAGGGCACTGCGCCCAAGGTTCCATTATGACGGCACCGTCACAGAGCCCCTCGTCCCACCCATCTACCATTCCTCAACATACAAGTTGAAGTCAGTCGATGACTTCCTGAAAGTCATGCATGAGGTGAGGTTAAAAGTATACACTACGATTACCTTTTGCTTATATCACGGATTTACGGATCATCACAGTGTATTGAAAACAGATGCTCAAGTCCAAAGGAAACAAGAAATATTTCGTGAATGTTAGCCAGTATGCCCAGTTAAGACATATTTACACTCTAATCTCACAGATTGTTCAGTGGTACAGTTGTCTAAACAGGCATAGGTGCAGCCTCAGTTCACCACGAAGATACATAACAATCTAGTTATAGTGGAATTCCGTTGTGTTTCAGGGTGGGTCAGTGTATTCCCGTCTGTCCAACATCACCACAGAATCTACCGAAAGTGCCATCAACGCCTTGGAGGGTGGGGCGGGCAGTCTGGTGTTTGCCAGCGGTATGGCAGCCATCTCCACGGTGTTTCTAGCTCTCCTCCAAAAGGGGGACCACATTGTATGTATAAGAAAACAGAACGTGATACTAATAGGGTCATGTTCTACCATGTTCTACTATGTTCTACTATGTTCTAGTGACAATGGTAGGTATAGTATACTAGTACATAATTAGTGACCAAGTTGTAGGCATGGTTTACTAGTACATAATTAGTGACCACGTTGTAGGCATGGTTTACTAGTACATAATTAGTCACCACGTTGTAGGTATGGTATACTAGGACATAATTAGTGACCAAGTTGTAGGTATGGTTTACTAAGACATAATTACTGACCGTGTTGTAGGTATGGTATGCTAGGACATAATCAGTCACCACGTTGTAGGTATGGTATGCTAGGACATAATTAGTGACCAAGTTGTAGGTATGGTATACTAGTACATAATTAGTGACAACGTTGTAGGTATGGTATGCTAGTACATAATTAGTGACCAAGTTGTAGGTATGGTATACTAGGACATAATTAGTCACCACGTTGTAGGTATGGTATGCTAGGACATAATTAGTGACAACGTTGTAGGTATGGTATGCTAGTACATAATTAGTGACCAAGTTGTAGGTATGGTATACTAGGACATAATTAGTCACCACGTTGTAGGTATGGTATGCTAGGACATAATTAGTGACCAAGTTGTAGGTATGGTATACTAGTACATAATTAGTGACAACGTTGTAGGTATGGTATGCTAGTACATAATTAGTGACCAAGTTGTAGGTATGGTATACTAGGACATAATTACTCACCACGTTGTAGGTATGGTATGCTAGGACATAATTAGTGACCAAGTTGTAGGTATGGTATGCTAGTACATAATTAGTCACCACGTTGTAGGTATGGTTTACTAGGACATAATTAGTGACAGTGTTGTAGGTATGGTATGCTAGGACATAATTAGTCACCACGTTGTAGGTATAGTATACTAGTACATAATTAGTGACAACGTTGTAGGTATGGTATGCTAGTACATAATTAGTGACCAAGTTGTAGGTATGGTATACTAGGACATAATTAGTCACCACGTTGTAGGTATGGTATGCTAGGACATAATTAGTGACAACGTTGTAGGTATGGTATGCTAGTACATAATTAGTGACCAAGTTGTAGGTATGGTATACTAGGACATAATTAGTCACCACGTTGTAGGTATGGTATGCTAGGACATAATTAGTGACCAAGTTGTAGGTATGGTAAACTAGGACATAATTAGTCACCACGTTGTAGGTATGGTATGCTAGGACATAATTAGTGACCAAGTTGTAGGTATGGTATGCTAGTACATAATTAGTCACCACGTTGTAGGTATGGTTTACTAGGACAGAATTAGTGACAGTGTTGTAGGTATGGTATGCTAGGACATAATTAGTGACCAAGTTGTAGGTATGGTATACTAGTACATAATTAGTGACCAAGTTGTAGGTATGGTTTACTAGTACATAATTAGTCACCACGTTGTAGGTATGGTATACTAGGACATAATTAGTGACCAAGTTGTAGGTATGGTTTACTAAGACATAATTACTGACCGTGTTGTAGGTATGGTATGCTAGGACATAATCAGTCACCACGTTGTAGGTATGGTATGCTAGGACATAATTAGTGACCAAGTTGTAGGTATGGTATACTAGTACATAATTAGTGACAACGTTGTAGGTATGGTATGCTAGTACATACTTAGTGACCAAGTTGTAGGTATGGTATACTAGGACATAATTAGTCACCACGTTGTAGGTATGGTATGCTAGGACATAATTAGTGACAACGTTGTAGGTATGGTATGCTAGTACATAATTAGTGACCAAGTTGTAGGTATGGTATACTAGGACATAATTAGTCACCACGTTGTAGGTATGGTATGCTAGGACATAATTAGTGACCAAGTTGTAGGTATGGTATACTAGTACATAATTAGTGACAACGTTGTAGGTATGGTATGCTAGTACATAATTAGTGACCAAGTTGTAGGTATGGTATACTAGGACATAATTACTCACCACGTTGTAGGTATGGTATGCTAGGACATAATTAGTGACCAAGTTGTAGGTATGGTATGCTAGTACATAATTAGTCACCACGTTGTAGGTATGGTTTACCAGGACATAATTAGGTGACAGTGTTGTGGGTATGGTATGCTAGGACATAATTAGTCACCACGTTGTAGGCATAGTATATGCTAGTACATAAATTAGTGACAACGTTGTGGTATGGTATGCTAGTACATAATTAGCACCAAGTTGTAGGTATGGTATACTAGGACATAATTAGTCACCACGTTGTAGGTATGGTATGCTAGGACATAATTAGTCACCACGTTGTAGGTATGGTATGCTAGTACATAATTAGTGACCAAGTTGTAGGTATGGTATACTAGGACATAATTAGTCACCACGTTGTAGGTATGGTATGCTAGGACATAATTAGTGACCAAGTTGTAGGTAGTATGGTAAACCAGGACATAATTAGTCACCACGTTGTAGGCATGGTATGCTAGGACATAATTAGTGACCAAGTTGTAGGTATGGTATGCTAGTACATAATTAGTCACCACGTTGTAGGTATGGTTTACTAGGACAGAATTAGTGACAGTGTTGTAGGTATGGTATGCTAGGACATAATTAGTGACCAAGTTGTAGGTATGGTATACTAGTACATAATTAGTGACAACGTTGTAGGTATGGTATGCTAGTACATAATTAGTGACCAAGTTGTAGGTATGGTATACTAGGACATAATTACTCACCACGTTGTAGGTATGGTATGCTAGGACATAATTAGTGACCAAGTTGTAGGTATGGTATGCTAGTACATAATTAGTCACCACGTTGTAGGTATGGTTTACTAGGACATAATTAGTGACAGTGTTGTAGGTATGGTATGCTAGGACATAATTAGTCACCACGTTGTAGGTATAGTATACTAGTACATAATCAGTGACCACATTGTAGGTATGGTTTACTAGGAAATAATTAGTGACCACGTTGTAGGTATGGTATACTAATACATAATTAGTGACCACCTTGTAGGTATGGTATACTAGTACATAATTAGTGACCACGTTGTAGGTATGGTATACTAGGACATAATCAGTCACCACATTGAAGGTATGATATACTAGGACATAATCAGTGACCACGTTGTAGGTATGGCATACTAGGACATAATTAGTGACCACGTTGTAGGTATGGTTTACTAAGACATAATTAGTGACCGTGTTGTAGGTATGGTATGCTAGGACATAATCAGTCACCACGTTGTAGGTATGGTATACTAGGACGTAATCAGTCACCACATTGTATGTATGGTATACTAGTACATAATCAGTGACTGTGTTGTAGGTATGGTACACTAGTACATAATCAGTGACTGTGTTGTAGGTATGGTATACTAGTACATAATCAGTGACTGTGTTGTAGGTATGGTATACTAGGACATAATTAGTCACCACGTTGTAGGTATGGTATGCTAGTACATAATTAGTGACTGTGTTGTAGGTATGGTACACTAGTACATAATCAGTGACTGTGTTGTAGGTATGGTATACTAGTACATAATTAGTGACCGTGTTGTAGGTATGGTATACTAGGACATAATCAGTGACCGCGTTGTATTGTGGAATACTAGTTACCTGTTTATTCCACACAGGTGATGAACGTGCCGGTGTACAGTGGCTCTCAGGTGCTCCTCAAAAGGCTTGTCAGTAAGTTTGGTCTGGAGGTGTCATGGGTACCCGCAGGCTGCTCTGTAGATGAATATCGCCGAAACATCAAACCGAACACCAAGGTAAATGGTATGAAGGCCACGATCAACTCACTCATCATATGTGGTATAAAGTGATTATTGATACATCTTATATCAAAGAGATCTCATATCGGTAGAGACTCGATTCCGAATTTATCCAGTGTTCACCATAATTACAACACATGGAGATATACCAGTAAGTCTTAAACACCTTCATATGACTCACATCAGCAGACTAAATATGTTCTCTTTTATGAGCGTTTAATTCAGCATTCTAAAAATATAGCATGTGAAATATATATCCTGTGTGCTGATAGAGGAAATATTATCGTCCTATATATATCCATGACATATAACCTGTGTGCATTACCGTATGTCAATGACATAACCTGTATGGATTACCCGTATATCAATGACATAAGCTGTATGTATTACCCGTATATCAATGACATAGCCTGTGTGCATTACCCGTATATCAATGACATAACATGTATGCATCACCCGTATATCAGTGATATAACCTGTGTGCATTACCCGCATATCAATGACATAACATGTATGCATCACCCGTATATCAAAGACATAACCTGTGTGCATTACCCGTATATCAATGACATAACATGTATGCATCACCCGTATATCAATGACATAGCCTGTATGCACCACCCGTATATCAATGACATAGCCTGTGTGCATCACCCGTATATCAATGACTTAACCTGTATGCACCACCCGTATATCAATGACATAACCTGTATGCACCACCCGTATATCAATGACATAACCTGTATGCATCACCCGTAAATCAGTGACATAACCTGTATGCATCACCCGTATATCAGTGACATAACCTGTATGCATCACCCGTATATCAGTGACATAACCTGTATGCATCACCCGTATATCAGTGACATAACCTGTATGCATCACCCGTATATCAGTGACAGAACCTGTATGCATCACCCGTATATCAGTGACATACTAGTAACCTGTATGCATCACCCGTATATCAGTGACAGAACCTGTATGCATCACCCGTATATCAATAAAACAACCTGTATGCACCACCCGTATATCAATGACATAACCTGTATGCATCACCCGTATATCAATAAAATAACCTGTATGCATCACCCGTAAATCAGTGACATAACCTGTATGCATCACCCGTATATCAGTGACATAACCTGTATGCATCCCCCGTATATCAGTGACATACTAGTAACCTGTATGCATCACCCGTATATCAGTGACATAACCTGTATGCATCACCCGTATATCAATAAAATAACCTGTATGCACCACCCGTATATCAATGACATAACCTGTATGCATCACCCGTATATCAATGACATAACATGTATGCATCACCCGTAAATCAGTGACATAACCTGTATGCATCACCCGTATATCAGTGACATAACCTGTATGCATCACCCGTATATCAATAAAATAACCTGTATGCACCACCCGTATATCAATGACATAACCTGTATGCATCACCCGTATATCAATGACATAACATGTATGCACCACCCGTAAATCAGTGACATAACCTGTATGCATCACCCGTATATCAAGCACTTGCTCCTAAGGGTACTGTTTAGTGTACAGTGTATATACTGTCTTGGTTCTGTTTTCAGATTATCTATGGCGAGAGTCCCTGCAATCCGGACATGTCCATCCTAGATTTTGAGGAGTTTGGTAAACTGAGCAGCTCGCTAGATGGTGTAATATCTGTCGTGGATTCCACATTCGGCTCCTGCTATCTGCAACAGCCAAACAAATACGGCATAGACATAAGCCTTCACAGCTGGTTAGTTGATTTATCAAGAGACGGTTGTCATCACAGTGACGAGGTATTGGCACCATGTGGTCTGCTGTCTTCACAGTGACAATAACGATCTTACATTGTGTTCCACTGTCTACACGGTGACAATGATCCGCGTCCATTCTGTACTACTGTCTAGACAGTGACGTGGGACTCGTACATTGTGTTCCACTGTCCACACACAGACAGTGACAGCCTGGTACATTGTGTTCTACTATCTGCACAGTGACAATGATCCTTGTACATTACGTTCTACTGTCTACACAGGGGCAATGATCCTTGTACATTAGGCTCTACTGTCTACACAGTAACAATGATCCTTGTACATTACGTTCTACTGTCTACACAGTGGCAATGATCCTTGTACATTACGTTCTACTATCTCCACAGTAACAGTGATCCTTGTACATTACGTTCTACTGTCTAAACAGGGGCAATGATCCTTGTACATTACGTTCTACTATCTCCACAGTAACAGTGATCCTTGTACATTACGTTCTACTGTTAACACAGTGACAATGATCCTTGTACATTGTGTTCTACTGTCTACACAGTGACAATGATCCTTGTACATTGTGTTCTACTGTCTACACAGTGGCAATGATCCTTGTACATTGTGTTCTACTGTCTACACAGTGACACTGATCCTTGTACATTACGTTCTACTATCTACACAGTGACAATGACCCTTGTACACTGTGTTCTACTGTCTACACAGTGACAATGACCCTTGTACATTGCGTTCTAATGTCTACACGGTGACAATGATCCTTTTACATTGTGTTCTACTGTCTATACAGTGACAATGACCCTTGTACACTGTGTTCCACTGTCCACACAGTGACAATGACCCTTGTACATTGTGTTCTACTGTCTATACAGTGACAATGACCCTTGTACACTGTGTTCCACTGTCCACACAGTGACAATGATCCTTGTAGACTGTGTTCCACTGTCTATACAGTGACAATGATCCTAGTACATTGTGTTCTACTTTCTGCACACTGTCAAAGAACCTTGTACATTGTGTTCTACTGTCTCCACAGTGACAGTGATCCTTGTACATTGTTTTCTAATGCGTGCACAGTGACGATGACCATCGTATGTTGTGTTCTACTTTCTGCACACTGTCAAAGATCCTTGTAATGGTGTTTTGCTGTTTGCGTAATTGCGATGATATGTGTACTTCGCCTGACTGTCTACACTGTGACGGGGGTGGGTGGGGTGGGGAGTTGATTGCATGTGTTTAACGCAGTGTGGTATGTGGTATGTGACTTATAACTGCAATTTCCCCTGCAGCACCAAGTACATGGGAGGACACTCCGATCTGATCGCCGGCAGTGTCACTACCAGGACAGTGGACCTGTGGGAGAACTCAAGACGTGGCAAACGAGCCTTGGCTGTATGGTTGGTGAAGATAGGCACTTCTTAGATTGGCATTCTAGTAGTTGAGGGAGATGAAGAATGAGGACATTTTTATGGATATACAACTTCTTTATTCTGTATTGGCGACGTTTCGACATAGACTCTAATGTCGTTGACAAAGACATAAGAATCTATGTCTAAACGTCGCCTATACAGAATAAAAGAAGTTGAATATCCATAAGAATTGTCCTCATTCTTCGAGATATAACTCTCAACATGGCATTTAAGCCACCTTCACCATTGTGAAGTATGAACGTCATGCAATATGTCAACCTTTGTAGTACTGAAATACCAGATTAACACTTACATATATGTCCACCCCTATAGTAGTGAAGTGGATGGATGGATAGATGGATGGAAGAGCAGTTTTTACAGAGTATACCACATTTATGCTGGTGTTGCAGTCCCCTCACGACTCCAGCCTGCTGCTGAGGGGACTGAAGACGTTACCCATCCGCATGAAGAAGCACAGCGAGAACGCCATGGCGGTAGCCAAGTACCTGGAAGGACACCCGAAGGTGGATAATATTACCTGTCAGCTAGGTTCAAGCAGCTAATATGTAGGTCCATCGTATTCTGTCCATGGTATTCTGTAGAAAGTACTTGCAGTCAAGGCTATGAAACGGTTTGGGATAATCAGTCGTAGTTCCCGAAAGTGAATTGATTTACATTCCCAAGGTGAATGCGTTTGGATTTCTGAACAGTTAATCAGGTATATCACAGCATGTGGGTTACCAACAGGGAACGGAACGCTAGTCAGGAGGAGGCAGCTGAAAAATTTCAAATCATAGCCTCCCCAGTACTGATTTTGTTTGACACTATTTTCAGTTAGTATGATGTCTTGGGCTCATGAAAAGGCCTGTAATACTCTCAGATTGTGGTATCAGGTTTTTTTACAGGCCATTATATGTGTGGTGGGGTCTGCGAGCATTTTCGTCACATTTGGTTGGTGCCCGACAACACCTCAAAGTTAATCATTAATAGTTTTACGACTATCAATCTGATCACTTTCATTTTGACTTCTGTGTACTGCTAAAGGATGTAGAAATTATTTGACATAATTTTGTTTTGAAAAAAAATCAAAATGGCCGCCATTTTGGCCGCCATTTTGTTTTGTCGTGTTTTGCCTTCTCAGCACTTAAATTTACATAAAAATGAACACCGAATGTTTCCATTTACATCCAAAGTTGATACTTTTGATGTGTTTTGACACTTGTTTCTCCTAGAGTGATGGCTTGGGCACAAAACAAGTAATTGTGTATGGTCATATCGTGGTAATTTAATATTTTACAGCTTATTCTTTGAGACAGGGGTAGTTTTGCAATTTTCCGACTTTTCATGGAAATGTGTGTGAGTGATTTATTCAATGGCAGTTGACATTATTTTTGTTACTAAAACAAGTTGTTTTTGTTTTCTCTTTACTTCTAGAGTGACGGCACGTTATCAGGAATGTTTACATATTACCCAGAATTCAAAATGGCCGCCAAAATGGCCGCCATTGTAGTTTAACTACATATACTTAGTGGAGAACTAAATTTGTACTGATATGAAATCCAAACAACTCATATGGTGTCTAATGTTTAGTACAGTATAGGAATAGAGCTAAATGTCAATGATAGGGTCAATCAAAGCTTCACACTCCTTAAATATTTGATGAAATAACATTATCCAAAAGTGTTTGAAAACTATGCTTCATGGCCGATAACTACGTGTAAGCTTTGGTTGTAGGCATTCAAATTGTTCTATCAGATAACTCTTAATCACTTTTGATACATCCATAAGCTTGCAATTAACCTTCCTTTTCACTTTCTTTCATTTCATATGTTACTTCATGTCAGAATCGGACCTGTAGAGATCCGGGTTAGAATTGATCTTCAATAACCCATGCTTGTCGTAAGAGGCGACTAACGGGATCTGGTTGTCAGGCTCGCTGACTGGGTTGGCACATGTCATCGTATACCAATTGCGCAGATTGATGTTCATGCTGTTGATCCCTAGATTGTCTGGTCCAGACTCGATTATTTACAGACTGTCGCCATATAGCTGGAATATTACCGAGTGCGTAAAACTAAACTCACTCATGTCAGAATCGGAGTCAAAGGTGTTCGGGCAACAATCATCTGCCATACAAAAAGACATGCCTCTGTGCACACTATATCATTCTTTCTGCTGGCATGTTGACTTTTTGCATTTACACGATGTCAGTTCAACCAATCCACAGGGAGCAGGATCTCTCGACATCGGAATAGCTGACCATCACATATGCTCCAACCATGGTCAACTGGGGAAGGAATGTTCATGATTGGTTGCAGAGACTGTTTCCAAACATGGACTTTGTAGTTTACTCGTTCAATGTGATGTTTTAGACTGTTGGATGTTGGTGGGAGGTTTTCATTCAATATCTTGTGTCATCTACAGACATCACTGGATTATTTGGTACATACATAGACTCACAAACTGGCTACAAGATGTAATGGGTGTTTCTTGAACGTCCAAATTGTCACCCAATTGTGACAATGTTTGTTGGTGATTTTCAGAGGACTTCTGTAAGTCAATTCCCCATGTCGAATGTTCTTCACGTTCTAAACTGGGACGGAGTAATAACGTACTTAAAATGAGATTGACATACTATGGACGGAATCGCGGCGCTTCAATCTTACTGGGTATGTGTGCGGATGTAGTGCAGTCCGTCATCAATAGGTCCACACTTTTGCACATGTTGCAAAATCATTACCACCTGATGACGGTAACAAATAGCAGTTTAAGACTTTTAAGTGTTATAAACACGGATAAGTTCTAACTTCCTAAATTGTTTTGCTAACGCTTTAGTCACTACTAAGGCATTGAGTTGGTACGCCATAAAGCTCAAATGAGACAGGCGAGAAAGCCGTGACACAATGTAAACAAATCTTCATTTCGGTTAGGGTCAACCAGAAATTCGCAAAACTGTTACATGAAAGAACAATGTGGCGGATATTGTCCCATTCGCTCTTAGATATTCTTCAATTTGTCACATTTTAGGATGTTTTAAGTTTCCTAAAGCAAAATCCGAAGGCCTACAGCATCTTGTTAACAGAGTAAAATATTCGAGGAGTAATATTTTTATTCAAACGGAATATTGTTAGTGTCAGCAGTTGCCTATCATGCAATATCAAAGTATTAAAATTAGTTCATATGAGTTACTATAAAACCATGCTTTAAATATTTCAGATTTTGTATAAAGAGTTACATGGGACTTTTGAACGAATTACCTTCCTCCAGGTTGATCAGAATACGAAAACTATGTGAGAAGAATAGTGACTTTCTGGAGTATTGGACGTTATCTATAGAAATAAAGTGTATATCTTAATTATGAGAACATTATTTGAAGTTTTGTTACCACATAAATTATTCACATATATTCATGGTACATTTTAGGAGGTAATATCTTGACTAATAATTTTGAATTAATTCACTGGAAATGATATCAAGGTATGTCTACCAATCTCACTTTTTTAAAACGTGTGGAGATGGGTAATAAAATTAATAATAATCTATTCAATAATCAAATAATTATTTAATTGATTGACAATATGATAAGGCAGAACTAGGCAAACAAACACCATACATATCATGGCAGGACAATCACTTGGTATTAACTTAGTTCTTGGCTCCCTAGCTAGAGATGTTTTTGCCGTAAATGCTATACTTATAATAATATAATTCTGAAAGTGATTGCTAGTATCACCAACTCATTAAAGTTATTTCAACTTCGAGAACATTGAAAAGCAAGGCTACGTTTTTGGTCAAACCCTGGTCAGGCATTATGTAGTCCTGGAACAGAATAACTTACAAAATCTCAGGTGACTTTTAATGTAACGGAATAAAGGTTGAAACATGTATTTAACCATATTTGATGTAATTCTTCTTATAATCATAAGTTTTTAGGAGGGTTACTATTATTTGAAGAATGAGCCAAAGCTGGTGTTTGATAAGATGGTGAATTTGGAGACAAATTGTTTCAAGGTTTGTTGATGGTTATTTGCAAAATGAGCTTCATATTAAATTGCACACTGGTTTGTAGGAGGTGAACGCTTCAGGACATTTTCATGTCTGTTTTCCTAAACCTTTGTTATGACTTTTACCAAATTTTGAATCAACTTTACTATAATTTTATGACACCAGTAAGTATCTCAGAAAAGGAAATAGATCAAAATCAGTGTTATGTCCTCTAGGTATTGTCTCAGATCTAATAAAACAAAGATTATCATTGTTTAATTATATGCAGACCTTTAGTCTGTAATAACGATCAGCTGCGGCTGATGAGGATGACATTAATATGGTATGTCTACCCAATGAAAGACTACACAACGCAGAAGTGTGGATTACAATGAGCGCGGTGTGGATGGCGCCGACGGGACCGGATATATAGCTTAGCTTTTTGCGGCCCTCCGCCGTGTAAAAGCAGACAGGCAAAGCATAGGCAAGTTTGCACTTCCTCCCGCGGAGACAGCAGGCAGGTAAGGCATTGCAAACTTTGTACTTCCTCCCGCGGAGACAGCAGGCAGGAAAAGCAGGCTGATAAGGCATTGCAAACCTTGTATATCCTCCCGCGGAGACAGCGGGCAGGAAAAGCAGGCTGATAAGGCATTGCAAACTTTGTACTTCCTCCCGCGGAGACAGCAGGCAGGAAGGTTTGGGCTGCCCACTGTGAAAGCAGAAGCCAAGTATCCCCCTTATTAAGCCTATTTGGTGTTTGGTCCCGTCGGCACCATGCCCACCGCACCTGTTTATTACAAAGGGAAGCAAGACACAAAGGTTATGGTACATGTTATGCATACTGAGAACTGTACAAAGAGCTTAATATAAGTCGTGCATTTAACAACCTCTGCCAAGCACCCCCACTCCCAGATCATGTGCTGCAGCAGGGGAAGAGGGTGGGTGGGAAATTGATTATGGATGAAGCAAGATGGTGAACCTGTCAGGACAGCATGCAGAATAGAAAGAGAAACGGACGTGACGTATGCCTGCGGATGTGACATCACTCCGGGAAGTGACGTAGCTACTATTATGGAATGCAGGAAATAATACACTGCCACGTGCGTTGCTACACTGGATACTTATCATAAAGATAAGTGTATGAATACTTTACAGAATTGTATATTCCACCCATCCCCTTTTATCAAAATTATGCCGCCTTAGTACCTAAAGGTTAAGACAGATATTTCACGAACTACACTGCCGACTGTGTGTTAGCCGCATGCCGAAATGAAGATGATTAGAAATGACATTCATTCAAGGTGAAGTTAAACGTTACATATCGAGTGTATTCACTTGCCAGAGCAGTGCTAGAGCTGTGCGAATGTAAATGCTGCCTATAAACCCATTCAACAACTAATGCTAAATGCCATTATATACAGAACCTTTAGTCTGTAATAACGATCATGCGGCTGATGGGGATGACGATAATATGGTATGTCTACCAATGAAAGACTACACAGCACTGAAGTGTGGATGACAATGAGCGCAGTGTGGATGGCGCCGGCAGGACCGGATATGTAAGCAGCTTTTGCGGCCC